CTTAAAGCCGCTCATTAGAACATAAGACTAAACTATTGCTCCCGTATGTCAGTCAACGGTCATCAGAACCAATTAGATTATAGCTGATCCATTGCCACTTTGGAGATATGTGCTGCCCAGGACTTCTGTCGAACCCCATCCTGCCATCTGGCGGAAACTCTTTAAGCCTTAAGCGCGAAAAGGCGGTTTGCATCTGGGGCGGACTGGCGCCCGAATTGAAATCAAGTCACGTATTTGATTAAACATGGCGAGCGGCCATGTTAGACGCTGCAAATTTGCTGGCCGGCTAACGAGGCGAGGCGACAGTTGCAGGAGCGTTGGGGTCCAGGCACTCCACTCCACTGCACCCATTCCCACCTCGGACGCACCTCCAGATCCGACTGGAGAGCGGAGCGCTCCGGAGTGGCTGTGGAGCCGGCGAGACCATCAATGGCCTAATTGCACTTATTATGGACTCACGGGGGCTAAGAAGTCATTACGAAATTTCTCATCACACTTTCAGTGGCGGCCGTTACTCGCGGCCCATTCGACAGCTGGTGGCTCAATTTGTAAATTGAAATTTCAAAATTAATTGAAAACTTCATGGCAGCTAATTTGGAATAGTTCAAAAGCCTGAGAGCCTCCAAATTAGCTTTCTTAATCACAATCTTTCTGGGGCTTTTGCGTAGGCTCACCAACTCAGCAACTCATAAACTCATAAACTCAGCACCTCGCGCCGCTTACTCGCAGTGTAATTTGTGAGTTTGTGGGACTATGTGGCACCCAGATCTCCGCCCCCCGAGGTGCTGCTCTTTCGATCCGGATGCATTTTCACCGCGAAGCCGGCCAAGTGAGTTGTTTGGCTCACTCTTCTGCAGAGAAAGAAAGTATGCCTCCACTTCAACGTATCAATAAAATGCTATGAACTTCCAATCAAAGAGACAACTCATATTTCTGCGAGTGTCTGGGCCTGGGTGGCTGGAAGTGGAATGGGAAGTGGAAGTGGAAGTAGAGCCAAGTTGAGAGCCCAGACCCACATGGCCAAATGGCCACGAGGTGTGTGTGTACATGGCCATGTGGCCACAAGCATTCGCGTCGGCCATAATGCGAAATCCGAATGCGCTACGTGCCACACACGTACAGGTACGTATGTACATATGTAACTCCGTGCCTTGTGCATGCGAACTCACACACACGCGTACACACACATGTGCTCATGTTCCCTGCACGCGTACTACACGCAACATGGCGTCGCACACACACACACACACACACACACACACACACACAGGCGCAGCCCGAAGGGAGAGAGCGAGAGAGAGGGCGTGCGCGGAACAGGGACGGAAGATGCAGCAGCGCTTTCATCGGAATTTCGTAGCTGCATTTTTGTTTTTGTTTCGGTTTTCGTTGCGGCATCTCGCCGCCTCCTCCTCTCCTCTCCTCCCTCTGCTCTTTCTCCTCCTCCTCTGCGGCTTAGCGTTTTGTCAGCACTCAGCATTGTTTTCTCTTTGCGATTTGTGCGATTTCTTTGCTTGCGGCATTTTGCTGCCCGCATACCTGATGCAAATTTCTGATTAGCCAGAATTCGTTAGCGGTCCCAGAATATTAAGTATACGCAAAGCCCGCGGACTCACGCATCAAGTATACGCCCCATTCAATGAAAAATGCAAATTGCGGCTGCAATTTAATGATACTCTACTTTCGGATGCCAAAACTTGTCTAAAGATGGATTAATAATCAACCTGAAGGAAGGGCAAAGCCAACTTGGTCCTGTCGAGGTACTGAAAAGGATTTTGTGTCCGTTTTCGCTAATTTCCTTTAAGTTCTTGAAATGCACATCCAAGCAAAGAGGTTTATTCTGTCAGCAATTGAGTTACCTTTAAAATCAAACGTTGCATTACCCAATGAGGCCTACAGTGATCAGTGTTTTAGCCAGCCGTCGATTATAGGCATTTTTATCTATTGATATGTCCGTATAATCAAGCCGTGCTCTTATCTATACGCCCCTGCCACTTCGACGCCGCAGTCCGCAAGTGCGCACTTGACTCACACATGAGCCAACCATTAGCCCAATCGCATGATGGCCATCTATCGGCCACTGGTCCCTCCCACTTCCACATCCACATCCGACTCCACTGGCTTCCAAGCCCCTCGCAGTGCCAACTTTGGCAAGTTTGCGACGATGAGCGTATGGTGGAGCCGGGGATTCGGACTCGGATTCGGATTCGGCTCCAGGCTCAGATTCTGTTGCTGATTTCGATGCCGATGTCGATGGCGATGGCGATGGCTCGTCTGTTTGCTGACGGAATGCCATGTTAGATGGCAGCAAACATGCCGTTCGATGGCAAGAGTCGGGCCAGGCCGACTTAATTGCATATTTGCATAGGCGCAGAGCAGAAAAACACACGAAATGCACACACACACACTCCACTACGTAAGTAGAACACGACTGGAAAAAGCAAAAACAGCGACGTTGGGGCGCCTGCCTCTTGCAGAATGGGGGAATGAGATTTTCAGGAGGGTGTGGCCCCACGGAGGCGGAGCAGGGGACACCCATTTGCATGCGGCGACGGCGGGAGGAACTGCAACGTGGCTGCAGCTTGCAAAGAAATGTGCCACCTATTTCTGCGCTTTTTTGCCAGTTTTTGCCGTTCTAGCCATCTCTTTGATGATGGTCGCCTTGTTGGGGAGCAGCTGGAAAACCAATACCAGCCCAATTCGTCCAACCAGCCATATAGCCATCAATCCGGGCCTGCATCTATCAATGCATCCAGCAAGGCATTCACCAATCCATTCATTTCCATAGAAATGTGCGAAGATTATATGTTTCGTCAAACGCGAAATTGCGCACGAATATGCAGACCCTCCGCCACCTTTCCCTCTTTCGGCCAACTCCAGCTCCAACTGCAACTGCAGCGCCAACTCCCCCAACTCCTGGCTCGGTGTCATGGTTGTTGGTCGGCTGAGCTGGTTGTTGCGCCTCTTTTGGCCCGACGCAGCTGAAGCGGTTTTCGAGGCTGCCGCGCTCGTTTGGCTGCCATTGTGGTTGCTGCAGCGAAAACGAAAACGGGGCGTATGAGTGTCGTCAGCCATCTTACCCGCCACAGCTCTCTGGCAGAAAAACCCGCTGGGTTCCCCAAAGTTTTTTGGGCTTGGTTAGGCCTTGGGACCGGACTCCTCTGGCGCACAAGTGGCGAAGGCTTCTGGTGATGGGATGTGCATTAGCACTCCGCATGGAGCAATTAATGTGGACTGAGGTTTTGATTAGTGCATCAAATGTTCTGTATGAGACTACTCCACTCCAGCACGCTGCTCTAGGACGCAGGAATGAATTGTCATACAGACGTTATGAATGCTGCTGAAACTTAGAGCAAATCTCTGTTTCGAAATGCATGCTGTTGTACCTTAGAGAAGTGTGCGTGGCACTTCACATACCTGCTCCATTGTAGCATGCCCCTTCCCACTCCCCGCAGCAAAGTGCCATGATTGCGCCTTTCTGATGCTGCGACCTTTCTCGTCACTTTGTTGTAAAGAGCTGCCCTTCCGAGCAGTGGGATTCGTGTGGCTAGGCCCATTGTGAACTGGAGTTCTTCATTTCAACTGCTGCTCCTCTCGGGCTTAGTTAGGGGTTTCTCTGCTGTTTTTTAGGGTAACAATTATTCCGTAACTGCACTTTAGCAGCGCAAATGTCAGGCCCACTGAGTGTTCATTATAAAATACCATCGGCAGTTTCCTCAGCCTCGCTTTTCCGACTCCGAAAACAGCTGGGGAAAATCGTTCGATGCCGGAATGGAAGCTCCGCGGGGGAAAGCAGAGCGTATGCAAAGAATAGAAACATTTATGACTGTGGCGAGGGCATTACGTGTCTGTCAAACATTTCCGCCAGAGGTTCCAAGCCCCATGATGTTCGCCATCACGGCATACCAGCCGTTTGCACACATTACAAAAAGCAAAAGGCAAAAACATTCTTATCTCGGGCGGTGTGTGCGCACAAGAAAAAGGAGTGCAGAGCCCAAAAGGTGGGTTGGTGCGGGGGGTGTGGAGGGGAAGGGCTCCGGAGTCCGGATGACGTTAACCCACCATGGCCGCCATCACAGCCCGCACGAAGCATTCGCGACTCACGTCCAATGCGCAGCGCGTTCTGATTCGCTTCGCTTTTTGCATGACTTGAGATCGTAAAAAATTCATATTTTTTCTCTCGTTTTTATTTTTTACTTTCGTGCCTTTTTTTTTTTCTTCTGCTTCGTCGGCTGCGTATGGGGCAAGCCGTGCTGCAGGAACCCAGCTTTTGCGGGCGTTTTCAGAGCCGGTCATAATATTTAACTCACCGCTCCCTCCCGAGGGTTGCTTTTGCTTTTCATTAGGTCTTGCTCCGTCCACCGTCCGCCGTCCTCTGGCCTCCGCCATGTTGCCAGTGTCCAGTGGCAGGAGCAAGGAGCGAGCAGCGATGAGCAGGGCGCAGGGAGCGGAGTGGGACATCCACCATCTTGCCTCGGCTCATTTGGTTCGTTATTGCTCATTTCTTTCCCGGCCCCCAGATTAATGGGTGCGATAAGGTCGGCGTCCGGCAGTAGGTGTAGCCCAGACCGGGCTAAGGTGCCCTCACCCATACCCATATCCCAGGCGAAGTCCAGACGCCAGGAGGCTTCGCATCCAGCCATCCTCCAACCCAATATGGTAGCCATCGCACATCGATGGGTTTCCCTTCCGCGCCGCGGAATGAGCTGCTTTGGCCAAAACGAAGCCAACGGCACTGCCACTCCGCCCTGCCAATTTCTGCTCCTCCTGCTTTCCCATTGCCTTTGACTCTGGGCACGAAGTTCTTATCCGCCGGCAGAGATCTCCAGCCAATCCCGCCCGGTTTATGACTCACAGCAGGCAGAACTTTGCTTACTTGGCTGCAGATGGAGGCTGCAAAGTTCATGTCTAGGTTAGCCCAATGAGTTACCAGAATTTAATGTATAACTTTCCACAAAATGCAAATACTTTCATTTAACTGACAGCTCAATCATCGTCTTTTATTTGCCTAAGCTGGTGGATCGCATACTCTAGCATCAGTAACCAATAAATAAGATATATTCGACCAGTTTCTACCTACTTACTACTTAAACTGACGTTTTAAGATACTTTCGCAAACACCTGAGGTCTTGTTTATTGCCTACTCAAAACTAAACTGAACTCTGAATGTTCCAAATGTGTTTTTGTGACCGCCACAAGGTCTACCCTGAAGATCTGTAGACGTTGACCCAGTCCCGTGACCGTGGAAGTCAATCCGCACACCTTGTTTGCACAGCTGAAACTCTTCGCTCATAAAAGCACATGTCTCAATCAGTGGCGTACTCAGTCGCCTCCGTCATGTGGCGCCCTCTGCTGCTCACCCAGCTGCTCCTTGGCCTGGCCAACGGCCAGATCCAGCCCAGAATCGTGGGCGGCACCACCACCACGCTCTCCGCCGTGGGTGGCTTCGTGGTGAACCTGCGCTACAACGGAACCTTCTACTGCGGCGGCTCCCTCGTGACCAGCAGGCACGTGGTCACGGCGGCCCACTGCCTGAAAGGCTACCAGGCGGGCCGCATGACCGTCCAGGGCGGAGTGAGCCAGCTGAGCCAGTCGGGCGTCGTGAGGCGCGTGGCCAGGTACTTCATCCCAAAAGGCTTCAGCAGCTCCAGCCTCAACTGGGACGTGGGCGTCATCCAGCTGCAGAGGGCCTTGACTGGCAGTGGCATCACCACCATTCCGCTCTGCCAGGTGCGGTGGAACCCCGGCGACTACATGCGCGTCTCCGGCTGGGGCACCACTCGCTACGGCGGCTCCAGCCCCTCCAACCAGCTGCGCACCGTGAGCATCCAGCTGATCCGCAAGAAGCTGTGCCAGAGCGCCTACGAGGGAAGGGACACCCTCACCGGCTCCACCTTCTGCGCCCGCAGTGGCGGCAGAGACAGCTGCTCCGGCGACTCCGGCGGCGGGGTCATCTTCAAGAACCAGCTCTGCGGCATCGTCTCCTGGGGACTGGGCTGCGCCAACGCCCAGTACCCCGGCGTCTACACCAGCGTCCGTCGGGTGCGCGGCTTCATCCTCCGCTCCATTAGGAAGTGAGGAGTGGTCAAGGGCCTCCAGGGAGTCGCGGGAGTCAAGGGCGTCGAGGGAGCGACGGAAGCCACAGCTATTAATAGTTAGTTAAAATATTAATTACAAATCGTTAGTGCAAGTGCTGCCTCGCCTGTCGCCAGGAAGTCCGCGGACCGGATGGGCGACTGCAGATTGGCGATGGGCCAATGAAGATATCACCCATCTGCTTTGTGGCCTTGCCGCATGTAAATTGGTAGGCAATGCACAGTGATTGAATACCAGTTATAAACCTTTTGCATAAGATTAAATGTGTTCCATGCGCTTAAACAGCAAACTGAAGTACAGAGAAGTAGCAGAAGAAAGCCTTCGCGAACTGATCTCTAGAGGAAGTGGAACCTCTATCCACGGTGCCCTGGACGAGGGCCAAGGGCCTCTTCCCGAGCGACGAGTGGCCACTTCCGAGTGTTGACTTTGTTGTCGCGCGCTAATTTCGATTTGCATTGATTGGGCCTGGCCAGGAGGATGGAGGTTCCTGCACTGCAGCGGAAGGAAGCACTGAGTGGGCAAGTACTGACCACCATCGGCGCTCGGGTCAGCGCAGCCCGCTAGCTTTCATATCCCGTGCGCCGCTGATTGCGTCCAATTCCATCTAAATTAAGTGCAGTTAAGGCGCCACTTAACACGTGCTGTGGAGCTGGAGCACCGCCAGCGATCTGGTGACCAGCAGCAGATCGAGCAGATCGAGCGGATCGAGCGGACCGGGCTCATTTGTGTAATTGCGAGGTGACGGTGACCCGCTCGCCGCAACGAGTGCGTTTAGATAAAACCATAATTAAGCGCTCTAATGTGGCCGACAAGTGCGATTTCCATAACGGTGGTGCACCGCAAGCGGCTAATCAGTCGCTGATTGCCGCAATCAAAGTGCATTTCTTCAGTTTAATGAGCTGCCGTTTGATTGAGCACTTAATGGTTCGCAATTAATGCTGCCCCCTGGAAGACATCACCTTTCGCAGGAGGCCGAAAGGACGAAAGGCCGAAAGGACGAAAGGCCGAAAGGACGAAAGGCCGAAAGGCCGGGTCAACAGCCGATTCAATTTGTGCTAAGTAGTCCAGCCGATTGGGAGCCGGAAATAAAATTGTAATTGCGGCGAAAAGCTTTCCCATCCGAGCCCACATCAACATTGAAATCCATCGACAGATTGACAGCCACAAACACACGAATTAGCCAAGGTCTGAATGGCTGTGAATGGGCCAGAATAGGTGGAAACGAGCCAAGTTCCACCGCTAATCAGCTGCCAAATTATTATTATTAAACTCGTTCGCTCATGCCGGCCAATTAGCATTCTGACGGCTTCTACTGTTCGACTGCTGGCCAGAGTCAGAACCAATAAAAGATTGAACAAAACTTGTGCCGTGGCCCATCGACAATTGAAGTGCAATTAGCTGCAGCCAGTTGGGGCAGCTGGGGCAGCTGGGGCAGGTGGGGCAGTCAGCGCGCTGCGGTTGCTTATTAGTTTATTACATCAACAGCAAATCTCAACAAACGCTAATTAAGACACAAATAATCGAACGTGCCCACACCGAAAGCCAATAACAAGCCAACCTGTGTGCCCAGGGGTAGTTCCCGATCCCAGGGCTTCGATATGCCAAGTTGTCCAAGGGGTGGTTGTCGTCGGCGGTTTGCTACAGCTTTGGGCTGTAGGGGCGGAATGGGCCGCCCAATAAAGTTGTCCCGGGCAAAGGACACTCGGGCAACTCAGCAAAGGAGCATGCAACGCCTGGAGTTGGATCGGTGGTGACAACTTGGCTTGAAGCAGCCAAGAAAGGTTAGATTATGGTACAATGTGTGGGAAAAGTGCTAATCAATAGATGTGTAAATAAAGTTCGAGATTGTAGCACACAGACACTTGGTATAGCTTATTACTCGAAAATTATAAAAGAAGGCAGCATTATATTAAAAAGCCTTAATGCCTAGAAAGTCGGTTGCACTTACGGAGCAGAAAGAATTGGGAGTCCGCAACTATCGACCCTCAGCTCGGCCAGCACTGCCGTCGTAGCTGCGGGATTCGGCCTCTTTGGGCTTGCGTGAGTAGTCGGTGTGGACCGGGATTCGAAATGGAAGTGCCTCTGGAGTTGGGCCACCCACGGCCTGCGGTATTTGAACGACACGCCCAAGTTGTCCAACCTGCCTTGGCAAAGGGCCAACTAAAACATGGAAAACCAAAAGGCGCCGCGGGAGGGGCGCACTGTACAGGCTACGGTGCACCCTCGGATGGAAAACCAACCACCGCGCAGCGAGCGACCGCAGCCGCAACCTGTAAAAAGTAAACAGCGCGAGGAGGGTGGAAGGTGGACGGTGGAGGGGGAGGGGGACTGGGAGTGGGGGTGGGGTCAGGGGTCACAGAGGTAGGGGTGGCTGTTGTAATTCCTGCGCCGGTGTGCGTGCGAGTGTCGGTGCGGCAATGGCGCGCAATGGCTTGAAAACGTAACCGCAAATGTGGCGGCGCTGGCGGCGGTGGCAGCGGGAGCGGTTTTCCGGGAGCGGGCACAGGAGCGGTGACAGGAACAGGCGTTTGTTCATGTAGTCCGGCTGTCTCTGCGCCAGTGTGTGTGTGTGTGTGTGTGTGTGTGTGTAGGTGTCCTGACAAAGGGAGGGGTGCTGAATCTTTTGCCGTTCTTCGGGGAGCTCCGCCGGAACGGAAGTGAATGGCACATTATGTTGCCGCTGCTTGACGTGGTCGTGTTGTTGGACTGCTGTCGTCATCCGGCCGGGGTCGAAAGCCCTGTTGCGGGGTGGTAATTGGATGGGCAGACCCGGGAGAACGTCCTCCGCCTGTGTGCTTGCCATTATGTACTTGTACGCATCAGAGCGACATAATGCTGCCCTCCATGGCCGGCCGTCCAAACTGTGCAAGACCAAGTCGAGGCGCTCCAGCCTCAGCTCCATTGCGGTTAAAGTTTCTTCCAGGCTCCCGAAGCATGGAGACTCTGCTTTTTTGAAGCGGCGTTCCCACAGACCCACTTGGGGTCCAAGTGGGAGAGGCAGTGGGAGTGGGAGTGGTAGTGGGACAGACGGCAACATTGTCATCATCAAAATCCCATTAGCAACGTATTCAAATGCGTTCGAGTGTAAAACAAGCCGCATTCAATGCACGCACACCACACACCACACCGCACACACACGGAGTAGAGTTCGACGTTCGACGTTCGACTCATTCATTTACGCATCCGTTTGTCCGACTCCATGGGCATCAGCTCCTGCCTCCTCCCACCTTCCATGACCCTTTCGGCATCCCTCCAATTTGCAGGGACTCGGGTGAAGCGAGATCCTTTAAAATCAATGGCAATGCTAGCCTACTTATAGGCCGGCTCCCAGCCACCCGATGCCAGCCGCTCCTGTGGAGTCAATCATCCAATCACCAGGCCGTTGATTCCAATTACAAATCCAAATTTCGACCCGCCGCCTTCCCTCGGAAATGTGGAGCACTCAAATTAGCATTTGGCTTGTAGGTGGAGCCCGTATCTTGCACACATACGTACCTATGTACCTATGTATGTGTGCGGACACTCGGGCCATGTGTCCAATATTTTTACCATTTCCATGCATGATTTGTAGTGGGCTGCCCGCTGGACTCTCTAATTTGTAAATTTGGTTATTGTGCCGGGCAAATGCGATGATTAGCTATCGAGTTTCGAGAGGTGCTCGCAGTTGGTTAGATAATTGGTTGGATACTGCCGCAGAGGATCTGCTCAGGTAATCGGTTTATTAGCTGCAGTGCAAGAATGCCATTTCAAGTATTTCTCCGCCATTTTGTGCTAAGTTAAGCTGAAGAGGAATTACTCCAATCTACTTATTCCCAAGTGAAGCGATGCAACAAGCTGAGCTGTCAAAAGGAATGGAAAAGCTACAGCAAACTATAATTATTCCTAAGGACAAGGCGGCAGGTGTTGGTTATTGTAGTTATTTAACGAAAAATAGTGGCAACTGTTACTTAGGACTACAAATAAATCCTGAGTACTATGTCATCTGTTACCACTTAGTGAAGTAAATAGGAATTCGAAGGAAAGCGGTAACCAATACCATACGAGTTTGAGATTACCTCTCCAATAATAGCACCATATGATTTTGATATTACCTCTCCAATAATAGCACCATATGATTTTGAGCTTATCTCTCTAATAATAACAATGGTAATGATGTAATGATAACACGACAAGTACATCTGAAATCCATCTGCCCGAACAGTGCAATCAGCATCCTGGAAACACAGCTCCCGTAAAGTGCGAGTGAGCGAATCAATTGAATGGATTGCCTAACGATCCCATTGACGAGGCTGTGTGTGTCAAGAAGACGCGTTATCGCGGCGACATCCAGCCAGCGACCCTGAAAAGCGGAAAGCCTTTAAAGCGAATTAGCAGACCGCACGCGCCCGCCCACCCACCACCACCACCCACCACCCAGCAGCCGCCCAAGTCGCATCCACTGACGAGCAATTGTTGATTGCAGGGCCACAAGAGCAGCGTCATCGGCAAGGAGCGGAATCAGCAGGAGCATATGCCGAAGGTCCTTGGGCGGAGCTCGTGCCATCCCGCTCGCCCCTGTGGTCGCCGTCCTGCTCATGTGCGCGTGGGGTGGCCCGCCTATTGCCGCGCTGCTCGCTCCCGCGGCGAATGGCATATGCGTGCGATTTTGATTTTGATTTTTATTTGATTTGATTGCGGCGTCAACTTAATTAAGCAACCAACTACCAACAATGGCCAGCAAATTGAAACAGCAGTCGGGCATTTGAAGTTCAGTTCCTCGTCTGCCGACGGGATGAGGGGGTTGGGGAGGGGTTGGTGCCCGGCAAGACATTTGTAATTCCTTTTATTCCGCTGCCGCCAAAAGTCATTGAAACGTGTAATCTGCAGCACGTGCGCCGCGCGGCAGGATGAGTCCTGGCTGATTTCAAGTTAGTCCGCCGGTGCGACTTTAAAGGATGCCCGACTAACTCACGGCGTCCTGCGGGGGCGGAGGTGCAATTAGCTGGCGGCACAGGTTGCCTCCTACCGGATGAGCGGACAAGGACGAGGATGCGCGCCAGGACGAGCGGATGAGCGGATGAGCTGGAATTCGACTGCCACCGACGTGGCCGCCGCCTCCGTGTAATTAGTGTCAGTTGCGAAGTCACATTTGGCTGCCCTTTGTAGTTGTGGACCACTGGCGGTGCTGCACTCGGCCACGCCCCCGAAGGCCGACTGGACGCTCCTGCTTTCCTGCCCAAGATGGACGATGTGCCGC